AGCGAAAAAGACTTAAACCTGAAAGAAAAATTATTAAAATATCTCCGTGCTCTTGTGCGATCAGGGAAAAACTTCATTTAAAGTAGGAATTTCCTGAACAGCATTGTGCAGTTTACTCAAGCAAAGAAAAGTGTTATCCAAATAGGATGCAAGTTGAAATGAATTGTATGCAGAAAACATTAATAAATAATTAGAATATTATATGTGGCTTAAATAATTTATGCACCATTTAATTTAAGAAGTTCCCGAATTTTATTTCTGCGTACAATATCTGAAATTTTTCATAATGCTTATCAAATAATTTTATTTGTTTGAAAATATTGCTTTCATCACTGATGTTAGTTTCAAGAATATTATCCTGCATTATATAGCATTATACATATATCGCGAAATATGGGTCAAAAAGTCTCATACGCCAATTTAAGTGTTTATACGAAACAATTTATATATTTATACCGTATCCTAATATATACAGTGTCCCCGAAAGTCCTTACACACCTTTCATTTTTGCAACGTTGGTCATAAATATATATCTCCAGTTACAGAGCGGTTTTAAATTACACAAATATTTCGGTTTTGTCAATTTTAATTTAAAAAATCATTTTTGAAAACAAAATATGAAATCAGGGTTTTTACCTACTCTGTCCCTGTACTTTCATTCAAGAAAGTTTTTTACTCATTACAAAAACAAAAAGTAAAATGCACTGAAGTGCCACTAAATTAGGGATAGCAAGGCATTAACGAGTTGGGGCTCCTCTGGCCTTGATAATGGCTGCCACATAAAGAAACATAGATTCAATAATTTGTGGAAGCATTCCACAGAAATGGCTTGCCAAACATCGGATAGAGCTGTCCATAATTCAGAAAGGGTAGCTAGTGTCACGTGATGTGGTTTCACACACTTTTCCAAAGCATCCCAAAGGTGCTCAGTAGGATTTAAGTCAGGGCTTCTAGGTAGCCAATTCATGAAACCTAAATTTTGAATTGTGAAAGAAGGAATCATGTAACTTTAATAAAAATAGATATTAATAAATATATCCCAAACTTAATTAACACTGAGGAGCTAATATTTTGAGAGCTAACTTTTTAAAATGTACTCGAGCCATTTTTACAGAACTTGGCAAATGGGAAAAAAATCCTGTTTTGTGTCGGAATGTCTATGGTAGTGCAATGCTTTATATAAATCTAATATATATCCTAAGTCCCACCTTCGAGCCATCAGAAATGCAAGTTAACTTAGTGAATCAGCCAAGTAAAACGGGAGATTTACAACATGCCTTTTTTGGGGAGAGGGGGCAAGCTGTATATATCTATGACCAACGATTGCAAGTCATGGACACTATGTATATTGTAATATGTATAAAAAATAATGTTTTTAAATACAACTAGTAATTTCATTTGACTAATTAACTAATTATTTTAATACTATTATTACTTTTCACTCGCAGTAATGTTTTCATTAATGAGATAATAAAATAAACATGTATTTGAATTACTCCATTTGATTTGTAATACATGACCGACTAATATAGGGTGAATCTGGAAAAGTGGGCAAAACTGTATGGGATGGGATGATACAACACGGCAGCTCTAAGACCAATATTTGTCATAGTATGTATATTCGGAACGCAATCTGTGAGAAATTAAACAGTAGTTTTTCACTGTCACACTTAAAGAATTAACACAAGAATGGGAGGAAATACTTCAGAAAACATTTTATTAATAGGAATGTAACAAATGTGCATTGCTAAAATAAATTGCTCAAAAGACCTTTCGCCAACTGTAACGCAGGCATCACATCTACGGGATAGGGACTGACTCATATATGCGATGCGAAGACACCAGGCATTTCCCGAATATCACCGACAACAACGACGATCCTGGCGACTAAATCCATATTGGTTTCAAAAGGGGCACTTGCAGATTAGGATTTTCATATGGCACCACAAGAAACGTCCTCAGGAAAAAGTACGGCAACACCTGTCGTAGAAATGTGTGTTACGGTTCGCCATGCAGACGATGTGGCAGGAAGTATGGGCCAACCAAATGGTCATGGAAGATCCTTGTTCAATCATTTAACGGAGAACCACCTCTAGAACGAATAAGGACGTGGGGAGTGCGGATTCGTAGATGCCGAAGTGTGTGAGTTGTGGGTGTTAAAATCGCCCTCATGTGTGAAAGTAGACTCGTCTGTAAACAGAACATATACACTGAAATCCGGCTGCTCTGCAAATGGAGGTATCAGCGTGCGAAATCGCAATCAGCCGATTATCCACTGTTGAGAATGCTTGTACCTTCTGCGTATGACAGGGGTGCATTTTTTCCATGGAGGTAGGAATTAAGAAGGAGTCGCCCTAAACAAGTTTCTCCGTACCCTGCTCTGATGCACCGGCGATCCCTACGTGGTGACCAAAACATTGGGTCATTTACCATTGAGTTCTATGGGATTTGAGGCGTTCGGGTGTAAATATTTTGTAATTACGTCGCAAATATACATATAAATGTATATATTTTCTTTTTCTACAACACTTCAGAGTCCTAAGTATGTGAAAACAACATATTTTTAAACAACATTTCATTCTGAACGGAATTAAATGCTATACATTTCACAGGACAGTTTTTCTCAGAATGGTTTAATTTGAATGAAATATTTTCACAGTTTTCGTTAATTACATTAGAAAAAAAATTAAGGTAATTCGATTTTATTCGGTTAAGGTACAAAAATTAAGATCAAAGTTTATTGTATTATTAATATTAAAATTATGCATTATTTCTTTTCTATTTATAGAGCTTCTTCCTAAAATACTTTCTTAAATATGACATGATTTTTTGGCTTCTTTTAAATCGAAAAATGTAAGTCAATTTATAATTAATGCTCTATTCGGTTCATTTTAAATTAGAGAATTATTTAGGAAAATAGTATTTGACTTTCTCTGAACATTTCTAAAAGGGAATAAAATAAGTTTTTTTTTTTTTTTTTTTTTTTAAGTAGTATTTTAAAACTTGTAACTGAGTTATTATAAAATGTAAAGGGAATAATTCTTTTAATTATACTTATGAGATTTTTTTTTACCTATCATTTCAACAATACCATATTCCAAAACTCTTTATTACTTTCTTTAAGTGCGCATCTCATAGCATTTGCTTTACAATACCTTTTAACAGATTGCTTTCCAATACGAACAATTCGTGCTTAAATAGTTTTATAACGTATTTGTCAACAGGATTTCAATTTATGCTTACAATTCAATATTAAAGTTATTATATATTTAGATAACATTTATAATCATGAATTAGATACATTTAATAATTAGATTTCTTCACAGTACTATCACAGTTGTTTATAAGTGAATAAATTCTTCATTTCAAATACATTTATAAATAATTTAATGAATATTTAAGTATTTTGTCAAAGGCAGATACATGCTTTTTTGCAAGCACATGCATAAATACCCATACATATTTCCTATTTATCATTTCCGGCATGTGCAAATCTTTAATTTCTGTGCATTCACTATATTTTTCGTGTAAAGTAATTTACACTAATTTAGCATACACCCGAAAATTTTACATAAAAAATATATATGAATATAATTTTAATGACAATTGTAAGTATTATTTTTAATACCCACTCAAAGGTCATTTTTTCTTCAAAATTCCTCCACGATGGCATCTCTCTCTTTAGGCAGATAGCCCTTGCATACGTTACTCTATTTAATAAAAACTTAATCTGACCTATGTGCCTAATTACAAATATTTTAACATACATAATTTTATATTTACATTTAGCCAACAAGTTTCAAACTTTTCAAATCTTCTAGAAAATAAATTTTGGAAGATCTCTTTTAGCAATTTTCTTAAAATCTATATTTTTGTAGTGCAACAGCTTAGAATTTTATAAAACAAATTCATAATCAAAATCGCTGTTGTTAGTTATCGAAAAATAACCAAGATGTGATTTTTGCGTAAATGTCAGTAAACTATACAAATTGCTATTATCCATCACACTATGAATGTTTCTTTTATGCGAGAGTGTCCCTTTTTCGATTTCTATGGAACTGTCGTGTGTCGAAATGCTATCAGAATTTTGTCAAGCGAGCTTCTGAATGTAAACAAAAAACACCCCGTCTGGTGACCCAAGCTTCAAAGCAGTGCTTCACTTCTAGCGCGGAATGGCCTCTCCTCCCTTTCCTACCTCCATGATTTTTTTCCTCCTGTAGCACACAGCAAACCGTCATTTGGGACACGTTTACAGCGTGAGAAACGCTCGCGTGCTGCATCCCAATTCATCTCTCACAATACGCAGAATGACCTCTGCAAGTTGCGGTGTCCTGTCACTTTCTTCACGCCCGGTGTCTTGCTTGGCTGTGACGAATGATCGCGCTTCACACAGCCGCCGATGTATATGCTCGAATTTTTCGGATGTGGAGTGCGTCTCATCGGAAACTGGTCTCGATAAAGTCTTTCTGCCTCACTTGCATTCCCGTCCGCCGCCCCGAAGTGCATATTCGCCATTTTGTAGTTCGTATAACCAGCCATCCTCTCGGCAATTCATTGCAGAAAATGCCGTTGGGATACTTGTACACAGAAGTGTTATACAGAACTTCAATTGCAGCCTCAATACTTTCCTGTAACCTAAGTTGATTTCCACTGTGAACCTCGTATTATGAAGGTAACCAAGGGAAGAGATCTTGCTAAAGAGGGAAGAGAAAATGCGAAGAAAATCACATAATTTCCCATAAAGCTGACACGAGGACCGACCCTTTTTATATCATTTACTATGCCACTTAGCGGCTTGCCGTTTGCGTTTCGCTTTAAATTTCTGTGACGAATATTGCTTGCATAGTTGCGTTCTACCATTCCGCAAAGTTTTGCCTATTTTTTCAGATTTACTCTGTATAAAGTTCCTGAATGCGAATCATAGGACTAAATACGAACATTTTTGTGAAATCAATGTGTTAATTTATTGTAACTTAATATATGCTTAATTTCTTCTGTAGATGTCCGGCAGCTTATATGGGAGACAAATGCGAAATACAAATAAGGGCAGTTCCGGGAGGCCCGTATATTTATTTTTGGTGCATGGTAACTTTTATAATAGCATGCTTGATTGGAGCCACTATTTTCTGCATTCTGGGATTTAAAGAGATTAGGTAAGGTCTAAAATTTCCACTTTAATTTACAAATTATGTATCAGTATTTGTTTTTTAATATAATCCTTTCCATAGGTTTTTAAGTCACCTTTGTTTCGCCTCCGTTAAATGCAAATAAATGTACACTTCAGTTACAAAAGTATTGTAAATGATACACATATTCAATTTTCTAGGCAACAAACATATTTTGACACATTTAACCAAATAAACAAACGTTTTAAATATTACGAAATCTAGCTTTTTTATAGCACTGTGGCCCTATAAATATATTTAAAAAAAGTTTATATTCATTTTAACAGACTAACTCTAAAAGTTTGATTTCCTCGTAGTGAAAATTCACCGAGATTTTTAATCTCAGTTTCTGAAATTTTTGCAAATTTCCGAGTGCTAAAACTGGTCTTCATTCACTATGCTTGAGGAAGAAACGGTTGAAAAATAAATTAGGATGTTTTAATGCCGAGTTTTTTTTTTTCCAAGCTAATGTCATTCAGTGACATTCCTTCATAATATACTGCAGTGCAATTGTTTTATTTATAATTTTGTAGTCACAGAAATAACTTTTAAATTTCAACTGTTAAAAATTAACAACATTCACATGCAGTTTTTTGATTTCAGGATCTAATAATCTTACCAAAGATTCATCGGGCTAGAAATGTTTTTACTTTATGCAACAAATATTATTAATTGAAAACTATACACCAATACTTGAAGTCGGTCACTTTTAATAGAACATGAGCTGTGTAATATTTTGTGAATAGGATTTCTTTTATGGGAAGTCCGCCATCGGTCGAGCAGTGACAATGATAGATCTTAACAATGATAGTTAGATCTGAGGACAGAATTCCAGCAAATCGACTGTCTGCATGGGCGTTTTCGTGGCTTTCCCGATATATTATGTGGATACGAGCCAGTTCCCTTAGAAAGTCCTCCATGGAGGCATCCCTTTCCTTGGGCAGATAGGCCTTGAATACTTTGCCACAATCAAATATACGAAACCAAACAGCCAACCTTTCTGAAAAATTTTACATTGATCAACACATATCATGGCAGTCTGTATATTACTAATAACTGAGCTTCATTCAATCTCATAACATCAGAAACATTTTCTAAATTAAATTGATACTATTTTATTTTTAGTTACATGTAAGCTTGAATAATCCACTTATGAATATGTGCAAGATCTCCGAAGTTTCCAAAACAACCTAAATCTGAAATTATAAATATCATAGTTTTTGCCATACGGGAGTCTAAACTTTTATTAGTATACACGAACTAGTTTCTCTTACGTTAATCCTCCCCGAAGACATCCCTTCTCTTAAGCAGATAGGTCTTTGTGTGCTTTGCTATAATCAACTAAGCTACACTAAAGTTCTATTATGTTTCCTTTGTTAGAACAAATACAAAATTGTACTAAATATAACTAAAAGCACTGCCTAATCATGTAAAAAAAAAAGGGTAAATTTCGTGATTTTTCTAAAATTCGTTTTCTAATTTAAAAAATATCAAAACAGGAATATTTGTATTATCTAAAGCTTTTTGGGGTATTTGAATATTAACGCAATCATCTTGGATAATCTGGAGATTTTTTACATTAGAAACAGTAAAAGTTATTTATCGTGTGCAAGTTGGTGATTTTCGCAACATTTTAAAGAAATTTTCCAAACTATCTTTATTGGTCATAAATCGGCAAACATCAAGGTATCAAAAGCAAATGCAAACTTTAGATATTAAATTAAGAATTATATGATGCAAAAAAATTAAATGAAACATTTACAATTTTCGTGAAATCGTTCACAAACATCTATTCAACATTTACTCATTGTTAAGTAGACTTGCCCCTGTATTTCTTACTTTTCGGCGAAGCTTCGCTTCTTTAATTTTTCTGTTGCATTATACAAAAAGAGAATGCAACAATTTTACGTGTAATTTCACTAAAATTATTTGCATATTCACAAAATTTGTAACACTATTTCTTGATTCTATCGCTAGCTAAAATTAGGCATAATAGATCTGTTTTTAAGTGTAAATTGGTAAAGAGCTAATGACTTCTCCTTTTTCTTTGAAAATTAAATAATGAAATTACTTTTCGTTTCCTTATATGCACAAAACATTTCTAATTTAATTAAAACAAACGAATAAAATATGTTAACTTACGATGCGTTATGTATGTTGTGTTGTTGTTGTGACTTGTCTCAAATGTCTGACAGTAACATCAGAAGAAGACCACGGAATTCATCGTGGCATGAACAGTAAGACTGCGCTTGCCATTGGCAAGAGTTTTGAGCACCATACAGGTGACATTACCACTTCGCTCATTTCCGCTCGCCCCCCCCCAATTTTGATGGAAAGCATTCCGGGATGATGGGCCCGAGTGCCTCCCTTCCCCTATCAACAACCTCTCGAGAGGACTTTCGGCTCGTCATATAGTTAGAGTTCCCCTATGCCGCAAAGACATTATACATTTACAAACAACTGTGCCTTCTCCGGGATTCGACCCTGGGTACTTCGGTCCCGTAGTAGGTTTCCTTACCCACTACACCGTCTGAGCAGTAAGATGCGTTAAATTATGGCTTTTTAAATAAAACATAGTGGTACATGAACCACACATTGCTAACTGGTGAAGTTATTTGAAACTGCTGGCAAACTTGTCATTCCTAGAAACTAAATCCTATTTAAAAATTTATTTCGCATGTATTGCTACCATTTCTAAATAGGATATGCGTGGCTTTTCCATCATCCTCATATGTGTTAGAATCTTGCATCAAAACATGCCTACTGCCGTTATAAATTCGTGCAAGGCTTTGACGATTTCTTTTGCATTGGAACTTTGTTTTTGGCACATCTTTTTGTATCCACCTTTGTCTGTATTTCGTGGCAAATTGCATTTCGGTCATTGTCCTCGATACCTTAATCATTTATACATATTATAGGTCCTGGAGCATTTTCAAGCAGAATCAGATCAAATAGCTTTTTGTTGTGCATAATTCATTTTTTCTTTGTTAAAGTGCTTTTTTTAATATAGTTTGCGATGTTATTTTGGTGTGTCCTCATAGAAATTAGTAATTCATGGTTATTTAGATGCGTCAGAGCTACTATTTTTTATAGCATAGTTCCTGAATTTATGTTGCATGATACATTAAATTAATTACATCTCTATTTAAAGCTACTTTTTCCTTCTTGCTGTTTTTATGAAATAGGATTTTAATGAGTTTTGATTACTGATAACTTTTTCGTTTGGTTCTTCCAATTTTAATTCGCTCATTCAGATAATAGTAAAAAAAAATGAATAGCCCGCTAGCAAACTTGTAAGCAGCCGAGTGGTAAAATCCCCGAACACTGGTAGTTTAGACCAGAGTTCTTTTCCGGGTGAACAGGCTGGCTGCAAGCGCGTTTTCGTGGTTTTCCCATGTGTAACGGGTGCACGAGCCAATTTTTCTTAAATTCCTCTATGAAGGCATTCTTTCTCTTAGGCAGATAGCCCTAGTTTGCTTTGCAATAATAAAAGAAATCGAACTAAAGCAAAAAATGAATTCAAAAATATCATAATACAAAAATGCAAAGCTTTCAGATTTCACATTTTTTACATTACGCCCAAAGGGGCTCTTTTTTAACGTTTCGTGTGTTACCCTTTATTTATTATTAAATATCATGTTCTTCACACTTAAACCATAAAATTCAATTCAACAGCAATATCGCAAAATAATTTTAAAATGAGCATATCTCTAGGATTTCCGATACACAGCCTCGCGGGCTGGATATAAAAATACCCCCCCCCGTAGAGTGTTGCCATTGCTCACTTTGAAATCTTTGAGTTTGTAATAAAAAATTCATTGAGGTGTTACAAAATATGGCATTGATAATAAATATGGCATTGATAATAAAACAGAATCCGGCTTCCAGATGCCCATATTCGGTGGAGGATTACGTTATTCAAACTTTGATGGCTCTAGATACTGTTGTTTTATCAGAATGCGAGAAACATACATACATTTATAGAGATTCTTCATTATTTAATTTCTGTAAATATAATACAGGGCGGTGATATTTGGTAGCAACAATTTGAAAAGTGAAGCGGACATTTAAAGTTTCCGACGCAAAATCCCCAAACGAAATTAATAACCTATCTGGGCTGACGTCCTTTGGGCTAATAAAATTGCATTTAGTAACATTATGTTTTGAATTTTTATTTAATTTACTGTTAAAAGCAATTTAATATTTCTTCAATAGAATGAATTTTCCTGTTAAATCCATTGAGCACATATATTGAAATGAATGACCTTCAAGAAATATCAGTTTCTCAATATTTCCAAATCTTTAAAATACATTTTGTTTATGAGCCTGCATTCACTTTATTTACAGCAGACGAGATTGCTGGTTAATATAAAACGCGAATTCGCAATGACCTAATAAACATTTTAGGTCATGACATTGCTGAATGGCATGGCCTAAATGAGCACGCTGCGCCCAGGTTTTGCATCTTCCGAATACTAATGTAAAATAAATATTAAAGAGGAATAAAAGAAGTTATTTAAAAATAACCTCTTTCATTCCTCTTAAACCTTGCAACGGAAGTGGAAAGATTAAGAGGATTATATTTCTAGCTTGAAGCATATTTCTAGTTTTCATTCTCTTTTACAGCAAAATAAGTAAATGGATAATTTAACAAAACTCTATGCTTGAAAGAATATAACGAAAGCTTTCAAAATTTTGTTTTTTCTTCCTTTTTAATCGTTCAGTTATTTGTGATTATTTCGCTCTCAATTTTCCATGCTCTTATTTATGCATTTGACTTAATTATTTATATAGGCGTGATCGAATACGATTCTAAGATAGTGCAATAACTTATACATACAACAACCTGTAAAGCGAAAAATTTTACCTAAAATTATAGTATGTTTTTTTACTCGTTTCGCTATACATTCTAACTGCTAGTGCTGCTGCACTTAATGCTTTAAATTTCTCTGAAATAATTTTTTCTTTCTATTTATAGCTCTGCCAACTGTTCGATAAAAAAGTGTTGTCTCTCTGTGCAATGTGCCTGTTTAAGACTTGGTCAATTGTGGTTTTTGATTTGCTACCTTGAAAGATATAATGATTTTGTTCATGCTTTGGTTTGGTTTATTTGATTACGGCAAAGCCCATGAAGGCTGTACCTAAGGGATAGGATGACTTCACGGAGGACTTTCTAAGAAAATGGCTTGTTAACTCGTTATACATAGGGAAGAACACGAAAACACCCGTGCAGCCAACCTATTCACTGGGATTTGAACTCCGAATTGAATTACCAGTGTTCAGGGAATTTACTCCTCAACCGCTTGTAGGCACGTGGTTTGACGGATACCCATTCGGCTGGGTTTAGGTTCGAATTGCGGTGCACGTTAATGCAATCTCTGATCGTAATATCTTTATAGGACAAGCGCAGTTAAAATCTGTTGAATGAAACATTCTCTTGAGAAATGAAAGTTAATGGATATGAATACGAGACCACTGGATTCTATCTCCCCGCAAGATCCTCGTCCAGAACTGAGATGAAATTCAAGCAGATAGTCTTCGTGTGCTTTACTTAAATTAAATAATTCAGACCTATTAAATTTTCGATTAAAAAAATTGCATGATTGTAACCTTTCTTTTCGCTTGTGGTTACTATACAAGTATTAGTATTTTTAATTCAAATACAATATCAGTGAAAAAACAACGTGCAACTTTTGCTAGAAGTTATTTCTATCTAATAATTATGAAAACATATCTTAGAATAATGGGATTGTCATCGGTAATTTTTAAATATAATGTATAAGACGTATTAAGAAAACTTTCCTCTTGAACCAAACAAAATTTCCGTTATATTAATTATTAGTCTGGTTGGTTGGTTGGTTAATTGATTATGACATATCACGAAAGAGAGCTAAGCTTTAGAATGGACGCCATTTTGGAGGACTCCCTACAGTGAAACGTAATCGATATCACATTCTAAGTTGGGAATACACCACAAAAATACATGCTTCCAACTTTTTAGCTGGAACCAAACACGGGAGGAATTACTTGTTCAGCTTTCGTATTCACCCAGACACTGAATTAGTGTTCATACCGCTCAATAAGCATATTTTTCCTTGAATATTCTACACCATGTTAGTTGCTATGATTGTTTTTAATAGCACCAGTTTTTTACAATGCAGTAAACAAATAGACTGCAATGGTGGACATAATATTTATCCAAGGTTGGTAAATGGTTGTTCTGCAGGTTTGGCTATGACATCTTTTTTACTGTTCTGTTCAATTATTTGTCGCAGCGGATACAACCGTTATCTTATACCCATCAATATGCCTACCTAAGTTCTTGGTATAATCGTAGAAACTAAACAGATATTTATTTAGAATATAATACGTTTATAGTTATAGTGAAATTTTTTAAGTCATCTTTCTCCCTGAAATCAAAATCACAGGAAGTGTACAAACCTGTGTATCTGAAAATGTTATTATTAAATTAACAGTACTAAACTTCATCAGTATTATTATTCGAGGAGTTAAGGCAACGCGAATAAGCGTAATATTCTTAATTTGTTGCGCAGGAAATCGGTTTTCAGTCAGTAATATTTCTTAGTCTAATAAATTTTCGGATCGATGGCCTGTCAGTGTAGTTTGAATAGACCGTATATTTAATATTCATAAGTTATGACGTTTCTTGGAAGTATTTTTCTGCCTCATGAATGACATCAAAGTCGATAACTGGTAGTTGCAATAACTGAGGCCTGTTCGCGATGATGACCTGCTAATATTCAAGGTGTTTTATACCATCTGTGTAGAACTGAGCCGATCTAGATGTAAAAGTTGATTGACCTTCTATTCATGTTAGCTTATGGATGAAGACATATTTTTTAATATGTCGCTCAAGTTCGTAAAATGTGGCAAATCAGAATTATAGTGAAGCAAGGGTATCAATCTGTGCATCCAAATCGGATATTAGGTATCGCCAGGACATCCTAACTGCGAGTTTGACCCCGGATGGAATTCCGAAGGAGAACATGCTAAAGCGCTGTCTGAGGATCTCCCAGTCCTCTACTCCTACTACTAACCTTTCGAGAGTAATTGGAACTTTAGTGTGAGTAAAGCAACATTTCTTAGGCTAACTCTCGGAACTTTAGAGAGTCGCTCAAGTCACAGAAAGCCTTATGCTACACACTGACACTTGATACATCATACCGTTTGTTTTATTTGTTACACGTTTATTTATCTTCAAAATTCTACAAAATGAATGCATTAACTGTCCCAATATGAAAAGTGAGTTTATTGCAGAATGTGTTCAATGTATTCACTATTTTGTTTCACAACCTCTTGAAAGCGAACCTCTGCATTTGCACAACCGCCCCGCACTCGTCTTCCGAAACTGCGTGGCACAACTGCACAATAAAATCCTTGAGTGCTCTACATTTTTGCAGGTTTTTTTGCGAATGCTCTTTTGCCCCAAATCGAACATTTTGTTAGTCATCCCCATTTTAATGAAAATACTTCTCGTTAGAAAAACCATGTGTTTTGTAAAACTTAATATTTTTCCAATGACCAAAAAGCCAACTGAAGTTTTCGTTCGTTGCTCTAGCTATTAGCTTAAATGTCATTTTATAGAGGAATAAGTGCAGAATCCGTCGGATTGACCTATTAAGTATTCTTAATTCATCAGCCGTCCTCCTTGTTTATCTACTGGATATCCATATCAAAGCAAAGGAAACTGCTTCAACGTTTTCAAGTATGCTGACCTTTGATACGCACCATCGATTCTTCTCCACCATAGATCCAGTTTCTTCCAGTTGCTGACATAATATGTGAATGTAAGGGGCCCATCTTGTAGTAAAGTGCGACAAGAAAACACTTTTATGTAACCATTAAGCTCTTCTTTTCTACAATAACATTATAACTTTCCCCTTCTGTTCAGTACTCAAACGGTTGTTATCCGCCATTTCGCAAACTTGCGTTTCGAAGCAAATTAGAAGCCAATGCTGACTTCTCCTGATATATCAGTATCGAATTTTCTATGAATAAAAGCATTCGAAAATGCGTTTTAATATTCAATATATAATTTTGAAAATTTTATTGGATGATTGACTGGTGTGATATGTCGTGAATCCCCGTATCTGCCGGATGCTGGAAAGCACCATACCGTAGGCACATCTAAATGATTTTGTCCGTGAGATGCTCTTGTGGAGATGATGCTGATGCCTAACAAGGCACAGGATAAATTTGTTAATTATCTCACTCGAAGTTTACCAGAAACACAGTATCACTTTATATAGGGGGAACCTTTGCTGACGCTCAGTTGGCTTTTCATACAAATTCACATTTGGGTCAACTTGGCCTAGACGCTCTATCCTTCATTCTTCTGTATTAATGGCATTCAGTCAGATGTTGATGGAGATAAGACACCATTAGAAACAAAATACTATTTTATTTTCTGCTGCATTGCTTATTTCCTGCTCATCATCTTATCAACGCTGTCTTCCTAATCTAGTTTCCCCGAACAAAGAGCTTGAAGATGATAGACTGCAACAGCATTAAGCATAATTAAGGTCTCTGCAAGCTCATGTACTGATTGTGTGCCTATTGCTATCCTAGACGACCACCTTTATATATGTGTTCCACATTTATGCTTTAAGCTCGACGTTAAGTAAAGAGCTGATAATAAATTCTTTCATTAAGTGTTCTCGGAGTGTACTGTTCGCACATACATATTAAGCAACAATGAGCTTGGATTTGAAGCCATCGAGTAGAGAACATATAAAACGCTTACTCAAAGGTGCATCAAAGATGATGCTTAATTTGAATTATTTTTCCCCTTATACCTTGCTTTAAATACATGAAAAACTTTCATTGAGGAGCATTCAGTTAAGAGATTTTTCGCCAAGTTCTGAAATACCAAAATTTTTCCAACCTCCTAGTGGAGTTAGTGGTCTTTCGTGATTTTCCTTTTGTGTGCATAGTTTATTGATTATAACTATTTGAGTTTGTTTTCATTTTAGATAATATGATTTCAAGATGGCACACAACATATATGATATAATATCTGATCTTCCAGTGGAATATAATTCTATATCATTATGAGCATTGTGATGTTTTATTGATGTATTCTTATGTAAATTTAGATGTTTTATTGATTTTTGTTTCCCTTTACAGGCTACGAAACAAAATTATAGCACGAATGTCTGAATTGAGAAATGAAATGCCAGAAGTAGCAAAATACTACTACTGACTGATAAACCAGTACAAATTCATTGTTATAGAAGAGATATCACATGTATATTATTTATAAACTAATAAAAATAATAAGCTAAATATTGGTCTTCGTAGTTTTATTATAATATGAAATGTAATTTAAAATTGCATATCATTTAAAAAATAACACATTACTTTTATATTGTGCTTCAGTTATATAACTTCAATATACAATTTGTTACAATGTTATGATAGCGATTGCTTATCGTTTCATCTTTTAACATTTTTCTGATTCTAACTGAACGTTCAACTTATTTCATTAATTCATATTATCTACGTTATAGCGAATAGAGTATAAGGAGCGCTAAAAATCTCCAAGGTTATTGAGCATCTAAATGTTGTCGAAAGAACGTTTCTGGCATATTAAATAGCAGACAAACATTAAAATTCCTGACATTTTCATACTTGAGGTGGTTGCGGAACAAAGCGATGAAAAAATATCTTTCGTAAAGCTGAACAAAAAAATTATCAAATTAGCATTTTGAGGAAAGTTTTAAATAATAAAATGATCGTAGTAATTTGACACTTTCATGTTTTATATTTAGTTGTAGTGTCGAATAAATCATTTATATTAAAAGTTGCTGAAACAATGCCAGTTTTTTTTTCTAAAAATCTACTATACGTATTAATTACATGATAATGAAAGTAATGCAAAATTAATCAAGAAAGATATAAGCAAATTTGAATGTGTAAAATTATTAACATTGTTTATGTATACATTCAGCCTTAAATTCACTAAGCTGAGCATCACTACACACATTACTTTAAATACTTTAAAAAATAACACATTACTTTTATATTGTGCTTCTGTTATATAACTTCAATATACAGTTTGTTACAATGTTATAATAGCCATTGCTTATTGTTTCATCTTTCATCTTTTAACTTTTTTCTGATTCTAACTGAACGTTCATACGTATTAAGCTTCTGCTGCATATTCAATCTTTAGTAATTGTTTTTACATTCCACATTTTAAACAGAGAAATAACAGTAGAAATTGCATGCTACAGTAGCCCACAGAACAGCATTTTCGTATAAAATTACGTGAGGAAGTAGAAAGTTCATTTGCATTAGAAACGAACTTTGGTATACAACTAAAATCCAAATCATACATTTAACCCATTCTAATGATTGATATTTTCCTCTACTAGTTTAAGCTCAACCAAAAATCGTAAGGAGATAGAGTTAAAAGTAATATCCTCCCAACGAATTCGAGAAAGGAAATGTGTCGCAGGAAAATTCTTTTGAAGCGCAATCGAATCCATCGGGAGCTCACAGAATATTAAGTGTGTAACGAACGAGAAAGCCGCTGTTTTTTGTGGAATTTTACATCCTTAACCCTTGGTGGGCCGAATTTATTGAAAGATTATATATAGAACCGATTATTTTGAAAACGCCTAGAAACATCGAAATTGGAAAGTTCAGTTATTCAAACTTTCGCAACCTAAGACGGTTTTGTCCTTCGGCATGTTGAGATTCGTATGTACACTCATGTCCATAAATTAAGGATAATTCGGAGTCACGCAGAAATCGAACTCTAAAATAAATACATCACCTGTAAAATCACTACACACATCTTCAAGAATCATATGCAAATTTCAGGAAGTAACCAGATGACACCGATGGTATGTCACAATGACGAAAGTGTAAGAGAGTGATATATAAGGAATACGGGCAAAGAAGTAAAATTGTTCGCAGGCGCTTTATAAGCATTTCAGTGCAATAACCGAATAGTTATGACACAAGAACGCATTTGATGATTTTTTACGTGGTAGAATTATCGGCCGTCTGGAATGTGGGCGTACCCAACTGGAAGCATCAGTCGAACTTGGAATTGCCCAGAGTGTCATCTCCAGGCTTTGGCAACGATTCCAAGATGATGGTAACCTGAGTAGACGTTACAGCACAGGTCGCCCCAGAGTTACAACGCCAAATGAGGACCGGTATTTGGCAGTTACTGCCAAAAGAAACAGGCGGAGCACAGCCTCAGACCTGTCTCGTCAGCTCTCTTCAGCCACTGGTACAATTTCAAGGCAGACCGTGTACAGACGCTTAGGGCAGATTGGTCTATATGCTCGTAGACCTGTCACGTGCCTTACACTTATTGCAACTCACTGTCGCCTGCCGTTAGCCTGGAGTAGAGAGCATGCATTGTGGACACCGCAACAGTGGGCTTGTGTGATGTTTTCCCACGAGTCCAGGTTTAGCTTGCAGTCTGATTCTCGCCGGACATTCATGTGGAGAGCTCCAGGTACCCGTTACCACCAAGAAAACATCATTGAACGACACCGTTACGATGGTACAGAAGTGCTCGTTTGGAGTGGAATTATTCTGGGTTCCAGAACTGACCTGCATGTTCAAATTGGAACCATGACAAGCCAAATCTATCGGAACCGCATTCTGGAACAACATGTACGTTTGTTTCGGGGCGCCATGGGCGCACAATTTGTGTTTATAGATGACAACGCCCGTCCTCACCGTGCAAACATCATAAGCGAATGCCTTCAATGAGGATATCACCCGTATGAACTGGCCAGCATTCTCACCGGACTTGAATCCAGTAGAGCACGTGTGGGACATTCTTGGCCGACGAGTCGCAGCCCGTCAACCTCCTCCCTCCTACATGTCTACCGGAACTTCAGAGAGCATTGCTTTTTGTGTGGTGTAACATCCCCCAAGATCAGATCGATAATTTGATACTCAGCATGGCTAGGCGTTGTACGGACTGTATTGCATCGTCTGGGAGACATACAATGTATTAACAATCATACCATCCATGTAATATTCGTTTTTTGTAAATAGGTTTTTTTTTTTTTTTTTTTTTTTTTTGTAATTTGCTCCAGGGAGAAAAAATCGCTAATTTTTTTAATAATTATCAAAGATATAGCATCTTTCTTTGCTCTTTACCTTTTGTTTAATAAATAAACTTTATAAATAAATCAAATTTGTTTTGCTTCTAACTCTTCCTTTGCCTGATTTTGCATTATCCTTAATTTATGGACATGAGTGTATATAACCAGTTATTACGGGATGGTTCAGTTCGCGAAACCATCTACGTCATCAAGAATCGTGTGATATGGATTAATCAGGAATCCATATCAGTAGTTTAGAGAGATTTATTATAAATAATTACTATTTTTAGAATAGAAATCGGAAATATCCAAATTAGAATGTTAAAGAACTATTGCAAATCAATGTTAGTATTTCGATTTGCATTGTTTTTATATTATATATGCATTTCTTCATAATTAAATTCTTTTCCTCCTTTTCTAAGTTATGAAAGCTAGTAAAAGTGCTGCCGAAGTTGTCAATTGCTTACCGACTGCTGTTAATTACATTTCGTAAAACTGTATTAACATGTAAAACTGTACTATTTATGTAAAACTGTACTATTTAATAATTAAGAACTGAACTAAAATATTTGGACATCCAGAAACTACTAACGTTTATACTTTGTCCTTAATGTCATATTTTTTGAGTTCACGACCGATTTCGTCTCATTGTTCGATGGGATCTAACTCGGGAGCCTGGAGGAATCATGAAGTTGCTGCTTAGCATGATAGACGCACTATTCTTCATAATCTTGGAGGATATTTTGGATCGTAGTCCTGCTGGAAAATAAATGTTTAAGCAATAATTTGTTTTTGCACTGGATGCGATGTTTGCCTTACAATGTCAAAATACATATTCCTATCCATATTATTCATAATTTCTTCTATATAACATACATTGCCGTGTACCAGCAGCACTCGTAGACCTTCAGACATACTGCATCCGCCACAAATTGAAAGTTCCTTAGAAATTCATAATGAGCATCTCTTGATATAGATTTCTTCAAATCTCGACCACCCGAGCTATGGGTATAAAATTTTGACTGATCTCTGAAAAGTACCGATTCCCAGAAGAATTAAATATTTACTTACATGCTTCTTTGAAAGCTGGAGACGCTTTTTTGGTGACGGAAACTTAGTGTAATTATAAAGGTCTCTTCGGGGTACTCTCCATCAAAATTGGGGGCGGAACTGAGTAAAGTCGTACTGTCATGTCGTACTGACTTGTATCGTGCTGAAGGCAAAGACAGGCGCAATCTTGCACTCCTTGCCATGATGAGGAGATCTGATGGTCTTATTGGCTTGTTCTGATGTTGCTGTCGGACACGTGAAGTAAGTCACAATAACAACATTCTAAAAGGCTTCCTACGGGCCGCAAGTCCATTGTAACCTGCCTCTTTAATGACATTTCTTGTCGTTTGAGGTATTACGTCAGTGATGTAATTAGTCTTTAAGTCCTCCGCAGCAATTTGAAGTGTATTTATTCGTGGATTATCTTTAACCTTGTTTGTATGTTTGTTGTTACGTCCAATTTCATATAAGAATGGTTGCCAAAGCCGCTAGGCGGTTTGATTTCTACCTCTAGCCGTAATTTTAAAGAAGAGCACTCTTGAGGAGGTCTGAGGGTCTTCCAGCCTTCTCCCCTACCACCAAACCACACGAGAGGACTTTCGGCTCTCCGCTAATATATTAGAGTGTCCCTTTGCTGTTAAATCCCTTCCTCGGGATTGGAACCAGGGTCTTTCGGTACTGCAGTCAGAGTCACTAACTACTATCCCGTCTGGGTTGCGTCTATAATCTTATGCATTACATATATTTTATTCAAGCGGTTTAGCTTCGAGGGTCTTCCATTTCAAAAGTTTTAACCTTAGAGGGTTTTTCAATAATATGTTATACTGTAGGCTTAGATTTATTGACAATATCACCATTCTTTCATTCATAGATAACCCATCATTTCGTAATTAAATTACCAATTATCGGATAGTTTTAGGAACTTCCATTTTAAGATGATTTATTAGAAGCTAGAATTAACAACTGTTGCTATGACGTATTCGTGACGTTTATGCACAATCCAAGTTCGAAAATTTCTTGCCCGTTGTTTGTAGAAGACATCAGGATTAATTTGCATATTGCATAAAGAAACTTATTTCTCGCATGACACTTCGCAAAATCTCCTAAATATTTCAATGGGAACATTTGCCGCATTTCGTAAAAGCAGATATTTATTAT